CATTGCTTGTTCAGCGAATCACGCTCAGCTGAGCAATGTTTTTTGTTTCGGGAATCCGCACACAGCCACGAACATCGAGCGAAACACGTTTTGCTCCACGTTCAGGGTGTTTTGCTCGGCTGTGTGCGCTAAGCTTATCACTTACGCACGTCGACCACTTCATTAATGTGTTAGCAATCGTCGAGAAGCAACAGCAGCAGATGCAGGTTTCTTGGTCACATCAGTCTATCACCACGCGCGCACGCAGACATAATTAACGTGCGTGAATGACGCATGAAGGACGCGTGAAGGACGCATGAAGGACGCGTGAAGGACGCGTGTAGGACGCGTGAAGGACGCGTGAAGGACGCGTGAATGACGCGTGAATGACGCGTGAATGACGCGTGAAGGACGCGAGAAGGACGCTTGAATGACGCGTGAAGGACGCGTGGAGGACACGTGAAGGACGCGTGGAGGACGCGTAAATGACGCGTAAAGGACGCGTGGAGGACACGTGAATGACGCGTGGAGGACGCGTGGAGGACACGTGAAGGACGCATGAAAGACGCGTGAATGACACGTGAATGACGCGTGAAGGACGCGTGAAGGACGCGTAAATGACTCATGAAGGACGCGTGAAGGACACGTTAAGGACGCGTGAAAGACACGTGAAGGACGCGTGAAGGACACGTGAAGGACGCGTGAAAGACGCGTGAATGACGCGTGAAGGACGCATGAAGGACGCGTGAAGGACGCGTGAAGGACACGTGAAGGACGCGTGAAGAACGCGTGAAGGACGCGTGAAGGACGCATGGAGGATGCGTGGAGGACGCGTGAATGACGCATGAAGGACGCGTGAAGGACGCGTGGAGGACGCGTGAATGACGCATGAAGGACGCGTGAAGGACGCGTGAAGGACACGTGAAGGACGCGTGGAGGACACGTGAAGGACGCGTGAAGGACACGTGAAGGACGCGTGAAGGACGCGTGAAGGACGCGTGAAGGACGCGTGAAGGACGCGTGAAGGACGCGTGAAGGACGCGTGAAGGACGCGTGAAGGACGCGTGAAGGACGCGTGAAGGACGCGTGAAGGACGCGTGAAGGACGCGTGAATGACGCGTGAAGGACGCGTGAAGGACGCGTGAAGGACGCGTGAAGGACGCGTGAAGGACGCGTGTAGGACGCGTGAAGCTGACCGGCGCTAACACCTATACGCACTTCATTCATGTGTTAGCAATCGTCGTGAAACCGCATCATGTAGAGGTTTCTTGGTCACATTAGTCGATCACCCCGCGTGCGCGCACGCATCATATAACTCACACACCTCATACAAAACTATCGTCCTCGAACAATTTATTCACGCGCGAGCAAGCGATAAAACCGCTGGCAGACATTTCTGGCAATATTTACAAACCCCGCTCAGCAGCATCAGGATTGCGTCTTGGATTTGAATAATTTGCAATCATCGCCTTCCTGGCAAAACTATATATATATGAGAGCTTGACTGTGTCTGCGGGCTAAGGCTGACTTTCTGCTGTTTTTTGTCGGAAAAGCATTAAGAACGACCAAATGCTTGTTAAAATCAATCGCACTCGTTTGAGAGTCGTTCACGACCAACGAAAGGCCCAGGATCGTTTTTACGGCATCCATGCGATGGGTAAAAGAAAATTGCTAGTGACAAAGGGTTCAATTTGCGAACGAGGCACCGAGGACGAAAACCATGGCAACTACCACGGTACAACCGCGTGGCGACGTCTGGCGGCAAGTGCGTGTCCATATACTTGCGCGGGAACGCATCCCCACCTAACCCAACAACCGCTCGTTTGTTAAACAAACAAGTACCGTTCTATGCAAACACACGCAAGCAGTTCGTGTTCATGATCAAGTTTGTCGTCGTTCCCGCAGGAAAAAAGGAGACAAAACGAGAGGAGATATATACGCAATTTCGTAGCCGCGGTGAAAAATCTCAAACCGCGGAATGTTGCCACGAAGGAGCGTATCGCAATACGAGAGCGTTGTAGCGCTCGTAGCCCTGCTATTGAACTGATGAAGATTGCTGCTGGTCCGTATTGTGTCTGTAGTGCGTGTATTTGAGGTCGGTCCGACAATCTCAGACTCGCAGATTGCCCCACGCTCTCCCATGAATGCAAACTGTGGCAATTTGATGGCGCGCGCCGCGCAGCGGGAGGGTGGCGACGACAGGAGTGGAATGTCAGCTGACACAGCCGTGAGGTGCTGATGGTGACGTCTGCTGATGCTGATGCTGATGCTGATGCTGATGTTGATGCTGCTGATGATCCTGATGCCGATGCCGATGCTGATGCTGTTGCTGCTGTAATGCTGCATGACTGATTCCTCCTGATGCATGCTGCATGCTGCATGATGCTGCATTGCTGATGGATGGCTGATGACTGCTTGTATTATCCTGATTGCCCGCTTTGCCGATGGTATGCTGCTGCTGCTGCCTCCTGCTGTCATCGCGATGCGATGTATGTTCCTGATGCATGCTTGATCAATCGCTCGATTGATTGCCTGATGATCCTGAGTGTCCGATGCCGCATGCTATGATGCCTGCTGTGCTCGCTGATTCATGACTTCTCCCTCTTCATCTCCTCTCTCTTCTCTCTCCCTCTCTTCTGCTCCTCTCGTATCTCTCCTACTCTTTCCTCTCCTCACAAACCGTTACAAAAGCTCCCGTTATTCAGTCTCGCGAGTTCCAGAACTTACCTCAGAACGCCACTCTATCGCTTAGTGGAAGATGGGGCCCGATCCGCCTCCTACATCCCCTGTAATCTATCACGTATATGTATTATATATATCCTTATATATATATATATATATATATATTATATAGTATATATATAATATATACATAGTTCAGATTTCCCCGCCTCTCCGAATTCCATCGTTAAATGTTTCGTGCGCGCCTTACTACGCCAGTTGCTCGATTTATCTCACTAGCTCGCTAGAAGGGCTATCAACACACACATATAGCGTGACACACACGCGCGCGCGTGAGAGCGATGACATACTAGAGTTTCCCATTTAGGATATTGGTTTGCGATTTACAACTTTGATACGATGATGGTTCAAGGGCAATGCACGGCATCCGCTAAATTAACGTGTATGAAGTTTTGTTTGTTAGTTTTATGAACGTATGTGTCGCGCGGAAGCAGCCATCATCATCATCATCATCATCATCACCATCATCATCATCATCATCATCATCATCATCATTATCATTATCATCATCATCATCATCATCATCATCATCATCATCATCATCATCATCATCATCATTATCATCATCATCACCATCGTCGTCGTCGTCGTCGTCGTCGTCGTCGTCGTCGTCGTCGTCGTCGGCGTCGTCGTCGTCGTCGTCGTCGTCGCACCTGCTGATTGCGAGTATAGGGGGCAGGTGAGGGGCAGTTCGCCGAGGCGCTAATTAAATTTTAAGGTCGGATTTTACCACTCACATCGCCTTCGGGCAAGCCCCTCTCACTTTTTGAAGGTAAGAACGGCCGAAAACCATTTTCATGGGTGGTCAAGGCGACGGGCGACCAACGCGTCTTTCTTCATGTACTCCAGGAGCGTGATAACTGAATGGCAGGATGCTGCGGCCGAAATGAAATTTTGAGATCGGAATTGGGACAGAAATTTCCCCACGCACATAATAATAATCGGAACTACCCCTCTCTGTTTTAAGCGTGTAAGATCAACCAGAAAGCATTATCTAATTCTTTTTTACTAATGAATTCCTGCATGCGCACCCATGCATGCACACGTGCTGTCAGTCTGTCCGGCTCCAGTTTGAACGTATAAGAACGAC